AAACATATCTGACACCAGGAGCATCAGGTCGTTTCAAGTGTTTTTTAATGTATTTACAATAATATGAGATTAGATTTGTGACAATAATATTGTGAAAAACTCTTGAAAAAATCTTTTCAAAAGCAAAGCTTACAATCTGCGATCAAAATCTTAAAGCAATACTGTAAAGTCTTCGTCTTGTTTTTGTTAGAAATATATATTTTTGTTATCCATTGTTAACCAGTGCACTTTGGTTCCCAAAGTTGGGCTTGGGATCCAATTATGGGTCATGAAGCACCTTGGATAATCTCCAGAAATCAATTTAAAGGGTAATAAAATAATTGCTGATGTAATATTTTCCCTATAACTATTACAAAAACACAAAATAAGTATAAATAAGTATTTATATTTGTGTACAAACTGTTAAGATTGTCAAAAGGCCTGTGTTTTTAGGGTTATTGTTGAAGTTTGTGTACTAAGACAGTAATATTTGGGGTCACAAGTTTTTGCCATGAATATTTTGTGGGTCAGAAGATAAAAAGTTTGGGAACCACTGTTCTAAATACATAAAAACAAATACGTATAAATATGCTGAGAAATAAATAATCATTTTTAAATTTATACATAAAGCAGCCAGCAGACCTTAATCCTATTTAAAAATTTAAACAAGTGACACATTTAATTCAAATCCCTAAACTTTTTTCAGGCAGTTTTTATTTTTATTTTTTTTGAATTTGTATCCAATTTTTCAGTCATGTGAGACCAAAAACTATATATACTCACATGGCAGAGGAATAAATTTTAATAATAGCCAACAAGCTCCATAAATGCAAACAAGTAATGGTGTCAAACCTTCAGGTTCTGTGGTTTTTTTGCGTTAAGTTTATTCTTTTTTTGGTTTTCACATTTCTGTGCTTCATGATTTCTGAGACATAACACTAGATTCATTAGTATAGTAGAGGTGTCAGGCAATAAAGTACAAATACTTTGTTACTTTACTTAGGTTGAAATTTGATCTCTACTTTACTGGAATAATTAGTTTTCAGCCGACTCTCTTTTTCAATTATCTTTACTTTCTGCACATTTAAAAATGCAAGAAGTATTTCCTTTCTGTTCAGCTTGTCATAAATAAATAAAAACTATCCAGATATGTGGCGTCTCCTGGATAAAGTGAAGTTGATTGATTCACCTGCACATGACACAAATCACGCCACACTCCAGCAGAACATAGTAGAAATATACAGTATATGTTGCTGATAGAGGGATTCTAGTACATCTCAAATTTTTCATTAGCTTTTATTCTATTTATCGTCATTATTGCCTTTAGAAAAAAAGATTTTGGGGGGAGGATTGGGTTGTGCACTGTATTCTAAGCTTTTATCCTTTATTGCTTTTTCTCCTTCTATTGCTTCTACATTGTGGATGGCCATACCACCCTGAACATGCAGATCTCATCTGATTTAGAAGCTAAGCAGGCTCAGGCCTGGTTAATACTTGGTTAGTAGACCAACTAGGAATACCAGGTGATGTTAAACCGTGTTGCAGCCATAAGAAATGCTAGCAAGAGAAAACCTTTGACTATAATAGGTTGCCTTATAGATAGATGATAAAACAAGCTTTGATATTTTAACTAGTTTTAAAACAAGTACTTTTACACTTTTATTTAAGTAAAAAGTCTGATTTGATATGTCTGCTTCCAAAAAAAGTACATTTTAAACCCTAGTATCTATACTTCTTAAGTACTGAATGTGAATACTTTGGACACCTCTGATGATCGTTTGGGTCTCTCAGATCTCTCTTCTGAAAATGTTTTTATGCTCCACATGGTGATCCAGACCTACATAGTGGGACTAGCTAACCCAGTGTTTGGGCCAGATGGTGGCAGGTGTGCCTGAAAATTTACCATTTACCATAAAATATTACTTCATTCAGTGCTGTTTCATTCCAATTTCATTCCACTTGATTTATAGAATAGTCACATCAAGTGTTTTCCTATATATTGTTGTTTCTCAGAAGTCTGTTTAAACTGGTTAATATACTCCAGAATGCAGGAAATAGCATTTACTTATTTCAAAATTTTCTGGGGGAGGACCCCCCAGACTCCCCACCTGTGGGTCCTCCCAACATTGCAAATACTTCTGATGCCACTGTAATGTAAGAATGTAAGGACAGTATATGGTACTACATGTGTAAAGATACAGGACAAGTTAGAAAGTGACTGCTGCAGAAGAGCAGATTGTTTGGATTCTTGTTTTTTTATCTCTGAATGTCACAAAATCAGTAATAATATCTGTCAAAATTACAAAAATTACAAATTAAACATCTGTTGCAAATCCATAACTTTATATTACCATAGTTTTCAAACTGTCAAATTTACAACCACATCATAACAATTCTGTTATGAATATTAATTTTGGTGTACCACCCCTGATTTTTTAGTGGCCCCCCATGGCCCCCCCTGAAAAAAAATTCTGCAGGCGCCACTGGAGAATCTTTTGATGGACTTTTCTCACCTTTCTTGGTTAAAAAGATTCCTCTAGAATAAATGAAGCTTTAGTAAAAGTCTGTCAGGAGAATGACATGAACTAAAATAAATAAAACCAGTGACAACAATCAGCCTCAGTGAAAAAAAAAAATGAACCAAGAATTATTGTATTCTGTTTAAAGAGGAAGCTTCTTTCAGTAGTAATTTAAAAAGAAATATTTCTTCCTTTAGTGTTTTTTTTATTTTAAAACAAATTTGTATTTTACTGAAGTGACACACTAATAATGCAGATGTATGGAGCCTCATGAATCAGTTCAGTCACACCTCACAGATATGTTGACTTTTATAATGAAAGGTACAGTTGGAGGGCTCTGGAGACCACTGAACAGACAGTGATGAAAGATGTGTGCAGTGCAGTAAGAAGGTACAGGAGTGAATACAGAAAAGGCCTTTTCTACAAACCTAAACATATATCGGCTTATCTATTGAATACTTTTTTAACTTTCTGCGATGGATGACAGAAGAGATTACACACTACAGAGTTTGGCCTTTTGTCAAAATAAATAAAACAAGATTGCACTTATTTATCAATGTAATGTAAAACACTAAAATATTAAATAGTTTTATTTTATACCAATAGACAAGCTGTGATTTCTCTTTTTTAAGGCTCAGCATTACCTGCAGTTATGGTCAAATGTTGGACAGGACATCTCTTATTACAGTTGTTGTAAAGCTTTTATTTCCACTTCCCAACAGGTGCAGGACAGAAAATGACACTCTTCAGGATTTTGGTCTTCCTGTGTGCCGTCCTGGCTCTGTCAAACGGGGCTGATCCCGGAGTTCCTTACGTCAAAAGAAGAAAGGCACAAACCTCAGCGGATGGCAGTAATGTCCTACAGTACCCTCCTCAAGTTCTGCAGAGCCATAGTTACGACAGGGATCGCAAGGGCCACGGCAGCCAGAGGGTCCGCTCTGCCAAGGGCGGAGCTGGGCTCCTCTCCCACAGGGCCCTGCATCCTCTGCCCAGGCCCGAGGACGACGGGACAGGCCTGGAGGGGCTGAGCCCGGTGAGGCTGGAAATGGGCCCCGGCAGGGACAGGGTTCGATTGAGCGTGAAAAGTCAAAGCCAGGCCCAGGAAAACCAGCTCCTGGGGACACGTAAGGGGAGGGGACACGGGAATGGACACGGGCACTCCTCTGAGTACAAGAGACAAGGGAGCCGACGGGACAAGATGAGACACAGAAAAGGTGAGTTTCAAACACATCAAGACAAATGCTGCAGGTCAGACTGAGAGGACAGTGCTGGCAAATGAGAAGAGGACTATTCATTTGTGTTAACACTGGAGAGGCTAGCAACTAGCATGGATAAGCTGGCATTAGCATTGGAGAGGCTAGTGACTAGCATGGATAAGCTGGCATTAGCATTGGAGAGGCTAGTGACTAGAATAGATAAGCTGGCATTAGTATTGGAGAGGCTAATGACTAGCATGGATAAGCTGGCATTAGTATTGGAGAGGCTAACAACTAGCATGCCACGGTTGCTCACCTACTTTATTAGACACAACTTTTTTGACAAAAGAAAACTTTGTCTATAAATTAAACTTTCTCTAAAAAGCCCCAACTTGATAGTTCTGTCTTTTCTCATAATTCGCCTAAAGAGAAAAAAAACAGCTGTCAACCAATAGACAAGGGCAAACAGCTGCTAATTCAGGTGGTAACTAAAGCTGTCTGTTTCACAGTAATATGTTTTATGTTCAATATTTATGATTGATGTCATGATGAACAATAAATTCTGTCTAAGGAACACATGGCAGTGCATGTCGCTTATAGGTTTTGTATGTCCGCCATTTTCAAAGTCAAAAAGGTTTGTGTCTAATAAAGTAGGTTAGCAGCCTAGACATGTTACTCGCTAGCCTCTCTGATGCTAATGCAAATGAATAGTCTCCTTCTCATTTGCCAGCGCCGGCCTCTCAGTTACCAGAGCCAGCTGATCAGTTATCGGTGCCGGCCCATCATTAATCAGATCAATAGCTGGGTTAGAAGTAGATACAAGATACAAAAAGGGGGACCGGAGGGTGTGCTCCAATTACAGGGGGGTCACACTCTTAAGCCTCCCTGGTAAGGTCTATTCAGGGGTCCTGGAGAGGAGGGTCC